GCGTATTATAATGTAATGTTTCGCGTATATTTATTATTACTATTATAAAACAAGGAGTATAGCGCTGTCGATAAAACGTGAAAAAAAAAAAAAAACGAAAACCTCGCGTGGTCTAGTCACTGCATAGTTCGCGTGTACGTAACGAAACATAATATGCGTGTACGCCCCGAATTGGCGTAACGATAATATATTATCGGAGTTCCGGAGAATATAGTGTGTAACGCTTGAAATCAACAAAAAATCGTTAAAAAAAACTTCAGTTTATTGAGTCCCTAAAAAGTATTATTGAGCCCTTTAAGAATTGAAATAAGAGTAATAGAAAAAAACCACTATCAAATTACCTGTCGGAACCTTTTTTAAAACTATACTCGCGTCCAGAGATGACCGACGTGACCAGTAGATATAATACGATAACAAAGACAAACAAATACGCGTTTTGGACAGAAGAATACAAAGGCGAAATGATTACAAATCATAGAGGGCGGAAAAAATATGGGTTTTCGTCACTGGCTCACGTAATCATAAAGTAAAAAATATCCAAAAAAGTCCTCCTCACGCAACAACATGGTGAAATACGTGTTGAAATTCAACTATAACCCTATCACTTTAATCCATCTATAAAAAGCTCCAATTATTGTGTGATCCAGAGGGAGCTGCTAAAAGTGTCCAAAAGTATCGGGAAACCTATGTATATGTATATAAAAGACAGTGTCTATTTTCGAGGAAAATTCGACAAAAATAATTTTTCAATTATTATAGCAAACGAATTTCTATTGGAATACATATTTGTATTTTTTATGTACGCTTGATGCAGTTCGAATATCGAAAATTTGTCCACAGATGAGTAAATACGCGTGTAGCGAAATTTCTTGTAAATTTGTTTTACGTCATATTTCTGAAATAACGTGTTATTTTTTACGTAAATTTGTGTGTTTTTTTTTTATCGTACCAAATGTGTTAAGCGTTTTTACGAGTTAATTAAAACGAAGGGTGCGCTGAAATCGATGTAAATACTCAAAGCGACTAGGATCAATCAAATACGGATTAAAATGTCCTCGGGAACAAACTTTTCAACGTGACACTCAAAAAGTATAATAAAAACAAATAATTAAAAACGATAACCCACTCAATATTTTAAAAATATTAAAATATCAAAAAAAAAAAAAACACAAAATTAATGAATAGACAAAGAACATAATATAATATACTGTTGCGAAAACTGAGGTTCCTGAAGTCTTGTGGCCAAAAGGCCATGGCCCCTCCGGTACCTCTCCCCTTTTAATCCGGGATTGCCCGCGATTCCGAGTACGTGTTGTTATAATACCATATTTTATTTTTTTTTATCACGTACATTGTAATAATAATGATATGTGCAGTATGATTTGCATTTCGGTAGGACGCAATCCGATCGGCGATCGTCGTTGAATTTCACGGTCGCTGTTGGGGTGCTGCCCGGGCAAAAACCAGTCGCCGAACAAATCGCGAGATCGGTTCTCGCGTGTGTTTTGTTTACGGTGATAATAATAATAATAATAATTCGATTTCAATGTGGGGTCCAATTACAATCCGTAAAAAAAAAAAAAACAATAATGAAATCGCCGCATGCGAAAAAGGGTTCACCGTTATAATAATATACGCGCAGCCTGCAACGCCGCCGCCGCCTCCTCCTCCTGCTCCTCCTCCGCATTATGGTGACCCGTAACCGGTAGCCGGAGATTGTCGTTGTCCGTTCGCGTGATTAATGGAAAAATAATGAAAACAAAAAAAAAAAAAAAAAAAAAAACAACAAACCGATTGTATGGAAACGCGAAAACGCTCGGGGCAGAGATAATACGGTTACGAAACGTCATCCCTATGTACTGGTCGCAGTTTTGTTCGTTTTATTTTTTGTTTTTTTTTTTCCATATTATTATCTTTTGATCTTTTGTCGTCGTGATAATACCGCTCGGCAGAAATCGGGAATGTTTTTCTCTTCTCCCCGCGACGAGGATCGTTTTTCACCGCGGACAACGAAAGCGTATACAGGCGGTGACCGGTAAATCGGCCGGTCCTTTACAATGGCATAATGGAAGCGGGGCCCCGGTGGTCGGCTTTTGGCGATGCCGTGCATGTGCGCGAAAGGTCGGCATATTGCGTTATTATTATTATTTTTTTAAATAACTTTATTGTATACGGGGTCGGGGCCTATAGCACTTAAAATCAACAAAAAACCTTTTAAAAAACATGTTGTTTATATCCTCGAGATAAAGAGTTGAAAATATTGAAAAAAAAATAAGCATTTCTTTTGTTTGTTTAAAAAAGCACTTTTAAATTTCATATTTGACCTTTTGAATTTTTTTAAAACTACATCCGAGGATTTTCATTGCCCCCCGAGCCCGTGCACGGCCGACACGACAAGTAGATCGAATAACACAAATGTTGGATAATAGAATACGAAGGCGAAATTGTATACAAATTACTGGGCGGGAGGGGGGGGGGAGCGAAAAATATCTCGGTTTCTTCAGTGGCTTACGCAGGTAATCACAAAGTACACACTTTCAAATTTCATCTTTAACCCGTTATATAAATGACATTAAAGTAAAGTTTAGTTAAAGTATTTTGCATTTTTGGTATTCTAAACATTTCAGAAATAATCGTTGCAGCTCTACAGCACATTATAATAATGACGTAAAGGCAGCTAAATTCCACTTAGTACGTTCATCTACTAATGTACAATCGAATAATTTGCAATAATTGTTGAATTTATTTAAATTAAACGCCCGTGATGAGTGTTTGTTTGCGATTCGTTGAACGCGTACCGAATGTATTGAAAACATAAAAATCAATAATATTTGCAAAGTATTTCGCATATTTTTAACAAGTATTCGTGTTGGCGTGTTCGGATATTTCGAGAATGGAAAAGCGTTCGAAGTGTTCAATTCGGATTACGCGGTTCGCACAAGTATATCCGTAAGCGTATTCTGCGCGCGTTTGAAAAGTATTTTTTAACTAGACTGTTGAAATTATATAATATTTCCATGTAATAATAGCGCTTGGCGATGTTACACGATATCGACAGTCTGGTTAGATCCAACAATGTATAATAGCACTTTGTTAGATTTAACGGCGCGCCGAAAACAAAAACAAAAAAAAAAATAAACAAGCAAACGGCATACGAGGTCTCGAACCCCGATTACGATACGTACTGCGGGTTCTTCAACGGACGCGCCGAAAACAGACGGCACTCGAGGGCCATTATTAAACATGATCATATTTTAATGGATACGTGTAAATCACGCCGCGTGTGCGTATTGTGCGCCGAATAACAATAAAATGTAGGGTTGAACACGACGCATAGGTGTACACGTCGAAAATATGACGGACGGCGATGAAAGCGGACGATATTATTATTATAACGTAGCCGGGAGTGCCCCCGGAGATTGGGTGGGTTTAAAACCCGAGGAGCGTGCTGCGCAACGTTCGAGGCCTAATAGACGAAAAGGGGGGCGTCGTAAGCGCGCCATTTTCGACGATTTATCTATTATATTGTTCGGGAACCTTTATAGAAAAAAAAAAAAAAAAACCACAACGTTTTAAAGAGCTTATACCGCCGACGGGTGTGTCCGTGGGCCGTGTTAAAAGAGGAGCGCGACCCGGGGCGCCCGGCTCGCTATAAAACACGAAATAAAGTCGACAATATCACTATTTTTACGAGTTATTTGTTTCGTTTTCAAACGCTTTGCTCAGAGTTCCCGTATTAACGCATATCGTTCGGCGATAATTAAAAGAGCGTGAGCGTACGGTCTATAGTAACGCGTAATAATATGTGCACTTATGCAGAAAAAAATTCACGAGTGGTAAGGAAAAAGAAAGCGGTGGTATACCTATAGTGTTGACATTTTAATATGTGAATTTAATAAAATTGTAAAAAACAAACGAATTCGGGGGGGGGGGGGGAAATCAACTCGCAAAATTATCTGCGGAAAAGGTCTTAAGAAGAGGTGTTTAAAAATGTATGCCTCTGCGGGGGCTCCAAATGGCTTAACACGGTTCTGGCGTGCCATATTGTTGTAGGTGAAAATTCGGCTAGGTATTAGGACACGTATTTGATTGAATTCGTACCTGTACGCAACGATAAACCATCGTAAATGAAAAACAATTCTGAACAAAGTCCGGTTAAACATAACGTGATTTTCGTTGTGAATTTGAATTTGAAATTTCATCATAAGTGATGACGAACGTCGTGTACAATTATCAAGCGTTTCAACTCAGCCTAAACCAATTTTATTATTGTTTAGGATTATAAATATTGACGTAATAGACAGAGTATTACGTCACTTCAACATCATGTTGATTACAAATTTACAAGAAAAAAAAAAAACAAAATGGAATTTAACTCCTGAGCCGTTTACGGACAGTTATACATTTTTCTAACGGAGTGTACTTAGTACATGTACAGCAACGTTTACGTTTTTTTCGTACCAACTGATTTTTCTGAATTTTTCGACGTGAATAGGTAAATTCCTCCAAATGTATCACGGTGTTTTGCTCGACAATACCACCAACAGTAGCTTTGCGGGCTTAAAACGCAATTTGTTTGTTGTTTTACGGGCAGGGCCGTCCATCGTTTCGAAACGGTTCGCAAAACGCGACGATCCCGCCGACGAATAATTCGTTTCTCACGGTCGTCTGAAAATGTGTACACCGCAACTACTCGACACGCCCTTTATATTGTATACACACACATATATATATATATTTAAATAGTAAAGAGGCTCTTTAACTACAACTATAGACAATAGTACCACCAAGTGAGCATACGAGTACCATCTAGTGGTCTGTGCCTTTGTGGGTGTAACATATACGTAACCTAGCTACGTGTATGTTAATATACACTCGTCGCGGAGTTCTGGTTTCGGTTTCACGAGTACCGCCGCGGGCCGGCTCTTGTGATTGTATATTCATGTAATGTTTGTTATTCGTTGAAAACGATGAATGAAACAGAAAAAAAAAAAAAAACTCCCCAACTATACTGCGGATAATATCACGTGTACTTGTCTACTTGCTGCAGCAGGTTAGGTTAGGTAACCGCGCGCAGAGTCCGGTCCGTCAGTCCGGTCCGTACAGTGAAAATCCCCGCGCGTTAAATCGCGTAACTTCATCCGTAACTGATTCGGCACGAAGGGAGAAGGGCTCGAGTCGATTTTCTTTTCGATTTTCCCCGGTTCGCAAACAATTTTACCACATAACTTCCCCGTTTTTCGTTTCTGTAGTTTTCAAACTTCTTTTTTTCACGAGTACCGACTCGAGTACTTCCCAGGGACGCATAGACCGGTCGAGTTACATTTTGTCTACGGTATAGTGGTATATGAGTGTACGGGTATGTGCGCGCGTGTACCGTTAGACTATTAATTATATCGACGATTCGTCACAATAGAAGTCGGCGAGTGAAAATCGCCGGGCCCCGCGAACGTAGTGCACATTTCAATTTCTCGTTTCGATACGGACGTCGAATTTAAACGGTCGAAAACCGCGCGACTATTAATATTTTGTATTCGTGCGTCACCGCGCCGTACTCTCTCGCGTGAATCTCGCGCCGCCGGTAGAATAATATAAGAGATTGAACATATCGCGTACCCGTGCGGTATGAAAAGAAACAATGGGTAATTTTTCCCCGGTTTTTTTATTATTATTATTATTCTTTTTTTTTTCTGTGTGTGTGTGTGTGTGTGTGTGTGTGTGTGTACGTACGGCACTGCACCGCTGACCGCTGACCGCCGCCGCCGCACGGCAAACCTTTGCCAATCCGTCGGTGTACAATAGCAACAATAATAATAATAATAATAACGTCGTTATGCCGCCGTACACCTATTATTATTGTTGTTGTTGTACGTTACGATATTTTAACGCGCGGCCTCGTTGGCGGCGAAAACCACCGACCGCGCGTTTATTGATAGCGGCGCACGTACAATAATAGCCGCGCGCGCGTTATCAGTATTTACCTTTGTCCACATTCTCCGCGTATTTCGTCGTCTACAGTCCAAGTCTGCGGCGGCGGCGGCGGACGGCGCTACGTATAGGTATACGCACGTGTTATACGTGTTACACGGGGCACCCGCGTACCGGCCGCTTGCGCGGGATTCACGAGCCAAGGGTCACGCGCGCACCGCACATTCGTAATATTATATTATTATTATTTGTACACCGAGCGCATAACGTGGTATACGCGTTTTATTGTCCACCTCGACACCTTCAGTAAAACTGTTGGTTTTTGTATTTTTTTTTTTTTTTATGAACACTTAAAAACGCACTCAAACACACACACACACACACACGCGCGCGCGCGCACCGCCGCCGGTAATTGTTCAATGCGGCCGCCGCAGGCCGCGGGAACGCGCGTACAATACGTACGGTATTTTTCGCCCTTTCGGCCCGTAGAGTGCCGCCGCCATGAGACCCCATAGCTGGCCGCCCATACTTCAATGACAATATCGTTGTTACGACCGGTAGACGGGCATAATAACAACTGTGGATACTGCGCGAACTCTTAGACCCACATATGTGTGGTAGGCGTTAAAAAAAAACCGTATTAAGCGCAAGCCCTTTTCGCGCGCTTCTTCGCATATCGGTCGATTGTCAAAAATCGTAGAGAAAACCCCGCCCATCTAATATAATAGATCTCTGCTTATTAACACGCGGTCGCGAGGAATTATTATAATAACGAACGAATTTCGCGCGTTTTTAACTGGATACGTTATAATATTGTTTCGGAATATTGTACACACACACGCGCGCGCGCGCGCGCGCGATTATTACGGTCGACTGCATCGGGAAAAGTATCGAAATATAATAACACCCGGTTGTATTGCGTATTGTGCAACAAAGTATTTTAAAATTTGTCCGTTAGCCGCTAAAAAAAAAATTTAAAAAAAAAAAAATGTTCGAGTAGACGGTTTATGTATACCGTTTAATAATTCGATTATTTCCGTGTTACGTTTACCTAATCAAATGAATGTTTTGTAAATCGAGACAGAGAGCCGTTTCGAACGCGGACCAATAAACGTGCGTAACTCGTGTTTGGGAAACGAAAACGAGTGGCATCTACAAACGCCATTCCGAGCCCAAGCCGAAACGTAACCGAGTTGGTTTTCCGGTGATTTTAGCTGTTTTAAAAAAAAAAAAAAACATAACCTAATCGTTGGTGCTCATCCGATACCGATCCAAGGAAGTTATTGTCCAAAGTTCTGAGCATGGGTGCCCGCAGGATATTTACCAGGCAAGCAGTTGCCCAGTCTTGCCGCTCCCCCCCCACCGCTCCGGGGGGTCCATGGTCCCAAACGGAAACCTATAAAACCTGCTAATCGTGTGACGGGAAACCACGCACGGCGGTTTGTGTGTTTATACGTAACATTAAACCGCTCGGGCCGAACTCGGATAGAGTGCGTAAATACGCGACGGGAACGGCTGCGACGGCTGCGCGAACGAAATATGCGGACAAGCGATTAAAGTCGATTTTCTAAACTCGAATACGCCGCCGCAGCCGCCGCCGTCCGCAATAAAACTATGTATATACGGTATTGTCGTTTAGGTGGGAAAAAAAAAAAAAATAATAATAATAAAAAATACTGCATAGTGTGGCAAATCGTTCGACCGGCCGGCCACCGATATCGAATTTATGATTCATTATCTATGGCCGTAAAAAGAAAATAATGACCAGTCGACGAACGGTTGTCACGGCGCGTTGCGGCGGCGGCGTGTCATTATTCAGATTTGCAGACAAAATTACGTGTGTCCCGAGGTACGTTCGAACAAGGGCCGTTCACACTGGAACTTTTAGAGTTATTGTAAAACATCATAATGCCGTATCGCACCCGGAATGGCACTCTTCTTCTTCTTCTCCTTCGCCTTTGTCCCGACTATCGGCGTCGGCCACCGTTGTCCATTAAGCTTTCACTTGCCCCGATCCCCCATATCGTTTTAACACCTGCCATCCTCATATCGTTCTCAATCGCATCTTTTTCGGGTCTTCTTCTCCCCATCTTTCGTCCAACGTATCTATTTACATTACAATTCCAACTGCTTCTGATTCGTCTCACCTCATAGACTGTTTTAGGAGGAACGCCGAGAGTGAAGATGTACAGAGTGATTTTGTTTATTTATTTACGTAACGATACTGTTGTTAACGAAAAACGATTCTGAACAGATTACAATCGTATATTTTTTCGTTGTTACAAAGATAACTCAAAAACCAATAAGAATTACACAAAACGTCGCTAGTTTGTCCCGTTTAATGAAAAAAACTATACAAGGAAAATCAAAAACGATTTAATTCTAAATTTAACTAGAACTAGAATAAAAATTCTACAAAAAAGTTCCTGCACAATTTTCAATTGAAGCCAGATTTCTGGTAGAAAATGCGTTTACACACACACACACACACACACACATAAAAAAAATACACCATAGTAAAACCATAGTATAATCCTCGTTTCGTCTACCGCGGTAAAAAAAAAAAAATCGTTAAATCTGACACCGCGTTGCGTTGATAGTATTACATGTAGCCCAAACAAACTCGTCGGCCAATTTCGAATTGCAATGGTTCGTATCAGTTATCGTAGTCGAGCACGAATTTTCGTCGATAACGGCACGAACCGTGTGAGGGGGACCGGCTTAACATAATTTCCGCGCAGCCGTATTATAAACGATGGAACCTTACTAGTCGACATTAGTTCGCGTCACAATTGTTACGGTAACGCCCGAGCGTAAATATCGAACGGCCGACCGGTGAAAATCCGCGACGGGTTTTTAATAAAGAAGGGGATGGGGGGGGGAGGGGAAATAGCGCGAACAGTTTGGCGCATGATCGTCGGACGCGAACCCGACGACATGTCGATTGACACCGCCGGCGGTTCAGTAAGTACGTCGGGTCGTATTTGATAATAAGGCGCCGATTCAAAACGAATACGCGCGGCCAATCGGAGGATTCCGTTTGCGTCCGTGGCGCGTTTTCGGGTATGGGGAACGTAAATACGCCGCCGGTGCACGCCACTCGGCCACTAAATCTTTTCGGACATTAAATCTTTATTGTATATGTTAAAATAACAGTGCGTAGGTACCGTGTTACAGTAATAACTCCGGTGCGGAGCCGAGAAAACGATTATCTCGGACTTCACGCCGAATTCGGCCCGTCTACGCGATAATAACACATATTATACTAATACGATAATAATACGCACGTGGTTTCGCGACGTCAGTGTGCGTTTTATGCCGCCTATATATTATCATTGCGACTCGCCCATCACCACATTGTCGGTTTTATACTGTACGGGTGTTTCGCGACCGAGCCTGTATAACAGTCGTACGAGATCGTTGTAACGGCGAAAATCGGCCATCGGTTCGGAGACAAAGCGAGACAGAGAATTTGCTTTTCGACGACATTTTACGCGCCGACCGACCGTCAGACGGGAGCGTGCCGATAATATTGTACGCAGCCCGTGTTGTTTTTTACCGCGTCCGCCTGCAGGTCATATTCTACCGGGCAGTAGGACACTCGAATAAATCGGGCGGAGGAAATACCAAACGTCCGCAGTTTTAAGTCTGTACGTTTTACCTATGCGGTAACATTTTAATGTCGCGGTGTATGAACAAAGTTGAACGGCTTGATTACCGTATTACCGTATTTACGGGAATTTAATAGTATTTGTGTAGGACGTCATCACACATCATACTTTGACGTTTGACTTTAGGCGACTAAACCGATTGTTTAAGACGCGTTAACACGTCGATCGATAGGCATTATTAAGTCGACCGAGAGTAGTGGGAGTTGGAAGACCTGAGGATGACACGCTGACATGCGTATACCTTAATGACCGGGACGCCTCTTGTCGATGTGGGGATATTACAGACGATGGCACGTGTATTGGTATAATACGTCCGATAGCACCGGGACCTTGCACGCTAGAAGACTTGACCGTTGCCGACCGGAAAGACACGGACGCGGCCCAGTACTGAGCCAACCGAAAACATCTAGTCGACGCAATAACCCCAACACCAAAATTTTACTATATTTCATTTATTTATATTCTTGTAAATTTTGATTTGTAAACCTAATTGCGTTTAATTGTCTATAGTCTCCTACGGTTTACCAGTGTGATGCCGGGCACGGAAAAAAAAAAAAAACAACACATTGATCGCCGGATCTTCAGGTACGGTTCGAATATCGAAACCGGCCACAGGTATTATCACGCCGCCGTCGTTTCGGCGTTCTATCCGGCGCGGTCGCCTCGTACGCCACTACCGGAAGAAAAAAAAACCCCGGCCGTACGGACCGTTATGGGCGTATAAATATATAACAGCGTGTTTTCACAATGCCGAGGCGACGATGTTTTTACACGTTATTATCATTATTATTATTATTATATTTCTCCCTTCCTCCCCCCCCCCGCCGCCGCCGCCGCCGTACGAGTATATATGATCGTTCGCGTCCGAGTTAATAATTCAACGTATAATATAAATAGTGTGCGTGTGTGCGTGCGTGTGTGTGTGTGTGTGTGCGTGTGTGTATAATACTATAACCCATACGCGCGCGCGTGTATTACGGCCGTGCCCACGGCGGACGTTAATGGATAATTCATCGTGATAAGCGGCTGTGTTATTATTATGGGGTTTAGCCGTCGATCGCGCCCGTGGGCACGTTTCGGCGCGAAAATAATGTTTACAAAATATACCGCGGTAAGTATATGTACTCGCATTATTATTATTATTATTATTACCATCATCACGGGGAGCGCGCGTGCTGCGTTTGTGAAATATCACGTCGGCCGGGTACGTGCGAACGCCGGATCGGCAGCGGATTTTAAACCCCCGTTTAAACCGTTGGCGGTCGGGCATTGTGCGTGATGGTGTTGCGAGCGACCGAGGATGTTGCGTAGCGCCCACGTGTATATATAAGGCGGGTCATTCGGAATCAGTGGCGTACGCGCGGGGCGGTGGTGGCGAGGGGTTATGTCACCCCTCCCTCGCCGGTCGGCTTAAAAAATACGAACAAATATAAATCGTTTTCAATTACGACACGAGTCAATATCGGTTAGGTCACGGAAAATTAATGCATCGATATATCGATTAGATCCGATTCGGCCTGTTTTCCTGGGTCCGGCTTTTAAATTACCGATTCCCGTACAGTCGCGAGTGACAGCGGTAGAGAAGACGGTTTACGATTCTTGTGCGCCGCGTTCCCTACCGTTTGAAAATCCCCGTTCAGAACGATTCGTCCGATTTAGAATAGATACGAAACGGTTAATTATTATAAATTTCATCTTATCAAATTGTGTATGCCGATTAACGGAGGAGGGTCGTTATTTTAAAAATGTTCGCTTACGGCTACGATAAGTCAGTTTCCGTAAGTGGCTTCCGACCGGACGGCACGGGCGTCATTTGAGGGATTCAGACACTATACTTTGGCAGCTCTATATTTTTTTTAAATGTTTTTTTTTTTTTTTTTTTTTAACCCGCGTAAAATGTTATAATTGGGCCGTTTGTTGATAAAATGTAAAATGCAAATGGTAATCGAACCGCTGTCCAATGGTCACCTCTACCAGAGTCCGACCGTCTGTGATGCGAGAATGACACAGGGAATTTTTATCACGGTTAATTGTCAACTGTTAATTGCTATGGCTATGATAAACAACTGAAATGACGCCCCTGCCGGGCGGCACGAAGCTTTTCGTGTTTTTCGATTTTTTAAGTGTGAATTGGTAATATCTGTGCGACACGATTTTCGTCGTCGTCGCGGGTTCGACGCATCAACTGTTTTTCGGTTTTTCGTCAAAATTTGAACTTAAAACGAGTATTAATATATATATTTATAAATAAATACAATACATCACGCTGAAAATGTTTACCGGTTAGTGTAACTTATGATCAACCTCGCATAAAATTGTCAAACATTTCTGCTCGGCCAAAACAATTTGATCCGCATAAAACAAACTAAAAAATGTCGAACGCCTTTAAATAGCTCAAAAATTGCCAGAATGTTTTGAAATCTTATTTTATCACGTCCGGGAAATGCTAATATAAGTGTTTTGTGAAAATGTCAAGTTTCTATACGAACATTTTTAACCGAATCATAATAAAATCGAAAACAATGAAACTGTAATTTTTCCTCGTGTTTTTCCAATTAATGAGAAAAATAAAAGCAAAATCTAAAAACAACCTCCTCAATACATCAACTAGACAGATTTTAGATTTTCGAAAAGACGTTAAACTTGATGATCGGAGGAAGATTTCTGGTAGAAATGTTGTTAACGAACTGCACATGTTTTTTCCTCCAGATTCGTGTTTGAATGTTCTCTCAGCGTGTGTTTGGTTGTCGACCGAGGTTTGCTACCGAACGCGAGAATCGGTCTCATAACACGTCATCGGAGTACACTCTGATTTCCTTTGCCCGGCGATTCTCGGCGGTTAAAGTTGCACCCGAATATCTAAAATGTCTGTAGGATATTATTATTTATCACTGAACTCGTGGTTTTGCAGCGGTGCGACAGCAAGTATGATAAATGCGAAGTCACACAATTACTTTTCCCCGGGCGTAGGCGATAAATATAAATAACGATATAATAAATTACCGACGACGGGCCAAAAAAAAAAAATACGATATACTGCGACTCGTACTCGTAATTCGCGTTAGCGCGCGCGTTTTTCGAGATCGAAAAGTTTCGCGCCGATTTTCCGTTCCGGCGGTCAACTATTCGGGCGCAATCGTCCGGAACATAATATTTTACGGCAACTCATTATAGCCACCCTCGTATATTGTACTATTATAATATCACGGGCAATTTAACGTTTTCCCCTGTAGCCCCGGACGCGTATCACATCCGGTATAACCGTTCCGCACGCGAAATCACGTCGCTTGTCACGTCTCGCTCGGTGTACAAACGTGTTCTAAAACATATCGCACACTGTAAATAGGTCGTGCGGATAGAATCACTGTGGTGCACATACGAGGGCTAATCGAAAAGTATCAAGACTGGTAGTATCATTCGGAAAAGGAGCATCGAAGAGCAGTAGGATTGGTATCACTTGCTTCTATGATTTTTTCTGAGTACATATGTTTTTTTTTGCTTCTCTATAAAATTCTTCGGTTTGATTTCACTGATATTTTTGTAAAATATATTTTTCTAGTTTGGCGATTTTGTAATAAACCCAAAAGAAAAGTAACTTGACAGATTTGACCATTTTTTTTAATCGATAAACAAAATTCTATAGATTAAACCTCGATTTTTCATTTGATTTCAAATTATAGTATAAAAAAATCGGCGAAAACATGTTAAACATTAAACTTTTATAAAAAAAAAAAAAAAAACCGTATAACCAAGTTTCAGATGATTATATTGAAAAACAGAGTTCAATAGTCAAAACAAATTTTGAAAATGATCTAAATCTGACCACTATACGAGGCGTACGAGTTTGTCCTATAAGACATGGCGTGTTTGGCACCGGGCCCCTTTGCGCGGGGAGTCTATATTTTGATTGTTATTTGGGATATTTGTATCTTTTGTATTTTACTCCCCCTCTCCCCTTCCATGATCTGTCCGTCGCGGTTTTTCAGCGACAAGATATTAGGATTTTCATTCGCGTTTACGCACTTAGGGGTCAGGATAGTATGGCGAACTTCTTCGGAGCAGTATCGTCGGGTACGCATAAATATGTGGGTTGTACAGGATTATCGTGTAACGCGAACAAAGAATCTGAGATAACGCACGTTTGTTGATACGTGCACGTATCGGGGGCGTATCGTTTACAGGTCATCCGAGCTTTAATTATAACCAATACGTTAAAAATACTCTGGCCCGTGTAACTCGCAGCGTAACAAACGTAATATAAACGGCCGTAAACTATAATATAGCCAATATATACAATAGTTACGCGTGCGGTTTGCGTTTCTGAGCAGCTCGTACGGTAATATGTTACGAGCCGGACACAATATAATATTATTAAAAAACAAACAAACAAGCAAACACGTTTCGTCGTGTTATTTCCAAGATTCCGGCACGAAAATTCCGCTAATCAATAACGGCGATGACCGTCCGCGACGTTAGACGTATTACATTTCGTCGAACGGAACACCCCGACATAGATTATTTACCGACGGATAAAAATATATTAACGCGTATATTGCGTACAGGTACACGTCATTTAAAATATATATATAAAAAAAAAAAAAAAAAAATTATTATTAAACGTTTTTGACTTGAAGCCAAGGGAAATTCGTCCGAAACGATCTACGACGTCATTGAGTTACTCACTCGCGTACTATACAGGTACGTTCGATTTAAAATAAATTTTATTGATTGGAAAAAAAAAAAAAAAAAAACCCATTATAACGTTTTACTATCACTTCTCAAACTCAAAACACCTCGTGACTGATCCAAGGAGGACTAGTTTTGATACATTATACACAGCTGGTACATTCGTCGTTCCCTTATTGGCCAATAATTACTTATTTTTCTCACACACAGTTATTTCGTTGATTTGTGCTCGTTCCTCATAGGTGTACACCGGCCGTTTAATTTTGCTCATCAACTATAATAGCCCGACACCGTTCTCTATTTTCTCTCTTTTCTCTGTCGCATACACCACAGAGTATAAGGGCTGAAAATATTATAACGCCCTATAAAACCCTATAAAAAACGTCATTGAAAAATGTGCTGACATTTATTTGTTATTCCCAATAACTTCGTATAAGTGATATTCGAATATGTTATGCTAATAATAAAGTCTTACTGCAGATGGAACGGTTCAACATCGACTCGGATGACTTTTAATCCTGGGAAATCGTATACCTACTGAACGGTATCCGACGGACGTCCGTATCGATTATCGCGTTAAAAAACTTATCAATAACATTTGAATTCCGGATCCGAAATCGGCGAAACGCCAATCACACGTAATATGTAAAACTAATAAAACGACATAAAAAAAAATCGAAAATCGTCAAAAATTATCGAAACGTGATTTGTTATTCTCGTTCGATCCGTAACAATATTACTAGAGTCGTGCAGCAGGTTTTGAAAAAAACGGCGCGTGAAGCCCATCGAACCTATAATATATTTACATACGTACAATTTAAAACTGTTTTGCGATTTCGAACGGCTAATTGAAACGTTATGGTCGACGTAATAAAATTTGTCGTCGTCTCGGCGACAACGACGACGGACGCGACGAGTGTATTATGAGACGACGGTTTTGTGCGGTACTTACAATGATCGATTAAAAACGCAATCCGCCGTTTCCGACGCGTATTATTTATCGCTTCGGAATATTATCGATGCAATTCACCCGGTAAACGACTGTGTGCAGTAAACTTTTTGACATCAGAAGCGGAGTGTGTTTTTTTCAACTTCTTATCTTAGAAAATCTTTGGGGAGAGCTATAGGTGGACGTTCCGAAACATAGTTTTACGGCGAAAACGTCCTTTTTACTAAATCGGACGGTATAGGGTCCACACCTAATGCTTACACGCGAATCACGTATCTACTCAGCGTTCGTGAAAAACGCACGCCGCCCGGGATTGTGTCGGCTGATTTCGACGGTTCCGCTATAACATCGAGGGTATGGCGTCAAGACGGCGGGCCGAGATAAAAGTCCCGGAGGCTGTGTCCGAGGTATTGCCCTGTCGGTCGACGGCTCTCTCGCCGTACAACAGGCCGCGCGCGGCACTTTCGTAAGCGGACAACCGAACGACCGTTCCCGGTCGCGCCATTAGCGTCTCAGACCGAACGAGTGATTGACCCGGCCGAATTATAATATTGTTATTGTTTTTATTTTATTTTTTTTTTTTTTTTACGGGTTCCGGCGACGGCGAGCGTTTCGATTGGTGCGATTTCACCGCCGATCCCCCGGGGCCGTCGCTTTTTCCGTCGACCGCGCCGAGCGAAAGATTCCAGTCCGACAGACCGACGTCGATATTTTTTGACGGGCCTTCCTGTGCGCCGACACCGCGAATAACCGATACCAACAATACGGTAATAAATCGAAAACCAAATCGCCGGACGTTCGCCGGCGCGACACAAACGTAACGCTACCTACGCGCGTTTGACATACCAGCGACGAGTAACATAATATAGGTACCCGTGTAGAGATTTGAACGGAAAACCGAACCGTGTTACGCGTGTCTCTCTGCCGTTTTATATCCGTCTGAGGGGAGGCGAGGACGGTTTCCGACCCGCGATCGCACGCGACTCTTCCGCTCTGATCTGCCGCCCGGTCTCCAGCAGTGTCGGCTTACGTAACTTACGAGAAAGGGATATCGGTTTTTCGGACGACGGATATTGTAATATAATATACGACGTTTTAGACCGAAAAGCCGGGGAAAAAAACCGATAGAATGTAAGGAGGCGTTTGACGGATTTCAGTTTTAAAAAAAAAAACGTACGCCAGCGGTTCTTCGGGTTTTATTCCGTATAGGATACGTTATGGAATCCTGTAGTAAACGACGACTTAACGAATCGTAAGCAGTTTTAAAAATAAAAATCCGCCATACACAGCTCCCGTACACAGTTATGGGACGTTTGAATTTGCGCGCCGTTTAGATTATGCGAACAACAAATTTTCGAGTTAAAAAAAAAAAAATTGAACGCGACTGTGAAATTTTTTTTTTCGACATACATACGCGTGTAATTGCGTAGGCAATTGTCGAATCTTGCGTGCGGTATATTGTAAACGAGTGACGCGCGTGCTCCCGTTCGATTAATAACAATATTATTGTTACGATTACAAAAATATAGATTTTTAAAACAAACAAAAAGCGAACGTACGTTTGTTTGTCGTTTTTTAAACGAGCCAACAAAACGACCGCGGCCGCGTAGGTTTTTTAATATTTCCGCCGTTAGTAACGCTTTTCTCGGGAAAGTATTATTCGTCTGTGCGAAATAATATAATTTACACTACGCATAAATTATCGCTGGAAATTCTGGGAACTCGTGCGCGCCAGCCGAGTCCTCGACCGAGTCCGACTGGTTACGCCGGCGTATCTGTATACAGTGTCGGACAGAAAAAAAAAAAAAAAAAAAACACCTCCGCGAAGATTATCGCTGTAATAATATCGGTTTAACGCGAAACGCCATCGTTATTACCGTGAAAAATCGATAAACGCGCGTGTTTTACAATATTATTATTATGCGGTTACGTATATAGCGAAGTGGAAAAAAAAAAAAAAAGAATAATAGCGCAAAATCATCGGCATAAAGTACGAGTGTAACGCCACTGCAGCAAGCACGGCGGCGGCGGCGGCAAGTTGTTTGCCACCTCGATATTTATAAAATTATAATAACGGCATAATAAATATCCGTGCGGGCGAGTTTACGGCCGGGGCGGGTGCCGGAACGACGACGCGGTCCCAAAAAAAAATCGGGAAAATAAAAAAAAAAAAAAAAAAAAAAAAATGGCGTTTCGGGAGATCGTTATTCGTGCGAAACGTACCGAAATATAAATCCAAGATTGCCTGCACTACGTTAAATTCTTCGTCAAAGTTTTTTACAGTTTTTCGGAAAAACCTATACATTGTTTCCATGCGCCCTTTGAACGAGTTATACATTTTGGTGATTAGACGTAAAACATAAAACAGAATGAACGAAACGGCCGACAAGTGTACGGTAAATGTTGTACTCTTGAAACGAAGTATTTCATGTGTCCTAACCTAACTGTAATAGGGGAAAAACGAAAAGGTCCTCGGTTGTTTGACGATTCGACTCCCTCGCGCGATGCGATCTTTGTGCGCCCCGGAAACGTGGTCACCTCCCCAAATCCGGGCCTGCGTTCAGTAAACGGGCGACGACTGTGCGCCGGAGCAGGGTTCGCTCCGGGGTAGGCGCCCGCCCGAGCCCGTATATTTCGTTAAAAACAAAAACAAAAAACATGTACGCCCTATCGACTATTGCACACACGTACGAGTGTGTAGTAAGAGGTTACGGTCAGTCACGTATTACTCACGAACATACGCCGTTGATAGAGTTTTCTGGAAAACGCGACCCGGCCGACTACCCCGACCACCCCCCCCCCCCCCCCCTCCTCCAAACCGATTGTCCGGATACAAACGGAATATCCGCGCGTTACGCGTTGCCCGATCGCGGCGCGCCGTGCCCATACGCTACACGCGCATTACGGGGGGGAGGGGGGGAGAGGGGAGGAGAGGTGGGGGGGAAGGTGAGACACACACGCGTGTTATACGTTTTTCTCCCGGACACGCGGGGTCTCTCACCGGACCGTCGCGCCGGGGCGACGAGGCGCTATGACAGCAGCAGACGCGGTAACAGTTATTACGACCGCGGTTACCGTGTTATTGCTATGCGCTCCGTGCATTGAGCGCAGCGCCGCCACAACGGCCCGTGTAGTAATAATATGTAAACGCTAGACGGGGGTAATGGCGGATCCGGACGAGTCTTATCTCCGGGTACCCGGCATTATATTACTTATATTATTATCGTACGTACGTGCGCGCGTGTGCGTGTACTATTTAGTGGATTTTTGTCTTAAGTGAAAACCGAATACGTACGTATGTATATATGTATACGTATTATATTATTATTATTGTACGTTCTATTAATATAACGGATATGCGTGTGGTTCTCCTTTTAGATATTCCGTATGTGTAAACACACAAACACGCGGCGCACATAAAAAAAAACGACAAACCCCGGTTAATTGCCTACAGTTTACTTAATAATCGTACTCCGTTTACAGAGAGACTATCTCCCCGGTTCTGCGGCGGCTTAGAGACCCGCGCGACACGATATATATATATTTTTTTTCATAGGTGACGGTAAGAGGGGAAAAAGTAGTAGGTATACGCGACGACGGCGAAGGTAAGGACACAAAAAAAAAAAAAAAAAAAAAGGAAAAGAAGAAGTCTGGAATGTCCTCGAGGTACCTGTATACATCGCCGTATAAAATATATACTTATCGCGTCTATAGGCCTATTATACTCGCGTATATAAATGTGTGTGTATACACGAGCCGTGTGTGTGTGTGTTTGTGTGTGTGTGTGCGTGATGGATTTTCAAAAGGGAATTCATTAATATAAATAATATTATTGTCACGAGGTGCGCGACGACCCGCACGACGACCACTTAAAGCTGCGCGCGTGTCCCTGCTCGTCCGCTGCCGTATAGGCGCGCGAGGTGATCGATCGACCGTCGATAACACGCTCGTTACGCACCCGAAAACTATCGGCTCTTTGCGGGATTTTTTTCTAAAGGCGATATTGAGAAACAATAGCGGCGTCTCCGAACCGTTTACTTTTTCGTTATTTTTCGGTGGGGGGGATGGAGGAGGAAGAGGAGGGGGGGTGTTGTGGCCGAAATGACTGCCCGCTATCGATTTGCAAACCGCAGAATTTCACGACTATAGAAATTTAAAAAATTCCACACAGACGACGGAGTTCGACATTGGTTTGAACACGTTTTGCCGCCGAAATTATCGATTTCCGTCGATCGGTTTACGAGATGTTCGCGCTGTGGTGTTTAGGTATAGACGGTAATGCTGCTGCGCTCCTCCTCTAACTGCACTTAAAAATGCAATACCTCGTCAACCGGTCGACGGAAATCGATAACTTCGACACCGAATTGTGTTTTTAAACAATAATATATGCCGTCCTTTTATGAAATTTACAATGTAGGTTGCCCTTTTGAAAATCAGAAGTAGACGGTCGTTTCACCCCGAGAACTAAC